TAGCATCCAACTTGGCTTCGAGACTTGTAACTCTGTCAACTTCATGAAAGCCTCCTCTTCTTCGAATACTGGTCTCACTACCCCATTCAGTGGATTCTGAACATATCTTCTCTACCAGATCATATGCTGCTGGTGCCTCTATGTTTGTGAAACCATTTCGAGAAGCATTATTCAGGGCATCCCGGAACTCCCTTCTGATCCCATTGAAGAAAATAATGATCACGTTCCAATCTTCAAGACCATGGCTTGGGCATTTCATCAATAGCCCTTATAGAGCTCTCATGCCTCAGTCAGAATCTCATCATCAACCTACTTAAAAATAACAATTTTCCTCTTGCCTCTTCATTGCCAAGGCAGGTGGGAAGTACTTATCCAAAAAGGCCTTCTCAAGCTGAGCCCATGTCTTGATGGAACGCGGTGTTAAGTTCTGAAACCAGTGTGATGCATTCTCTATCAGAGAGAATGAGAACATCCGATGACGAATTGCATCATCAGACACAATTGGGCTCTTCATCATATCACATATGCTCGCAAACAGGCGAAGATGTTTGTGAGAATCCTCAGTGCTTACCTCAGAGAAAGTATACCCCTTAGTGATCATGTTGATAAATGATGGGATAATCTCCATGGTTGCATCCCCAGCCGGAATGACAATACATGAAGCTCAGGCTCGAGTCCTTCGATTCAAACGAGCCCTGATCGAACGATCCTCTGCCATGATGACAGGCTCGATGTTGCGCAGTGGTGATGGTGGTGTCGGTTGTGTAGGGACGACAGGTGATGAAGCCTGCCCTCTTTGGGTTAGGGAAGGCCTAGGAGTTGTGGTTGGCTGCTTCCCTAACTTGACATGCTTCTTGTTCTGACGGCAGGTCTTCTCGATCTCCGGATCTAGTGGCAGTAAATTGCCAGTCGTCCTCCTAGGCATGCACGAAGAGGATAAACCTGAAAATTATTCTGCACACTAACACCCATATCAAAATTGTTCACTCACAAAAATCAACAAAAATAAGGTATGGCAGTCCCCGGAAACGGCGCCAAAAACTTTATAGAGCAAAAGCGTATATGCCAATTCCTATCTCGTAGTAAAACTGGAAAGTCCGGGTATCGTCTCTCAGGGACTGGTACAACCTTAAGTTCTATCAATTTTATGAGCAAACTATAAGTGAAAATAGTTTAATGTGACTAATTACTGAAAGCAAAATAAACTAAATAAATGAAAACCGTCGGGAGAAATTCAATATAGAAAGCTCTGGGAGAAACGCCGGGACTCACTACCTATCATATCCAGATTAATTCTCATATTCCAATCAATTTAATCCATATCTCTACAGCCAGGATATCTCTACTGTGCTAGCTATCCCTGTCGGGAATTACTACGTACTAAACAATTAAATTAAATCCTACTGTCGTAGCTCATTGAATTAACTATTTAGCCTGAAGACTGATATCCCAATCAAGACCGCATAGCAACTTATTTAATCCACTGGCGCTTCGATAAGTTACTATGTCACATGAAATAGGTTCAGTTAATAGGGTTTCACTGTCGCTAATAACCTAATTAACTACAAATCATTGTATTGGTGGCCATTCAACACAAAGCATTAAATAATTTCATGCAATAGAGATTGGAAGAAAAGAAATATGAATCAATCCATCAAATCTAGAAATAGCTACATCCTATGGTGTTTCCCCCAGAAATTGGGGTTTAGTTCATGATGAAACTAAGACAAAACAATAAGGTTTTGATCATCATGTTCCAAATCAACAATAAACAACTAATTCGGACTAGAAAATTCAACCAAATCACTTGTTCTTCTTGAAATCAGCTCACGTCGCCCTGGAGAAGTCGATCGTCGATGCTGCTCTCACCAATTGCCGATCATCTGCATCGCGCAGTGCTGTGCTCCTATCGGCGGTCTATTCCCAGCTGCTCCCGCTGCGTTGTTCTCCAATCGAAGTCCACCCCTACTTCTCGCTGCCCTCCGGTCTATTTAATTCAAAAATCGCCCAAAGGGAATTAGTCCCCTTTTCCGAGTCCCAGGGAAAGCAATTAAAAGGAGTCCGATCCAATTAATTGAAGAAAAAACACATCCGGTCCACTTGAATTATTCCATGCAGCAATGCCAATTTCTCATTTCATTAACCTGAAACATATAAAATATTTGGCACTCTATGGAATGGTTTCCAGGCTTAGTTGAACCCAAAAACAAGCATTATATGCCCCAAACATAACATGTAATAACCACATTGAGCACATAAAATCAATATGTTTTCGACAATTATCAACAACCATGTTGTTGCAGTCACTTTGCCCTTGATCTCCGGCAAGTCACGAATTATAATTCTTCTTCTCCAAACTTTCGAAATTGGAATGTCACTCCAATTTTGAAATTTGAGCACAATCCTTTTTTTACTTTGTTTAAATATTGACCAATGATCAATGTTTCTTGGGATAGTGACATCAACTCATTCTCCAATCGTTGGAGTCCCGCCTCATTGGTCTTGGTAAAGATTGTAGAGAGAGTATCCTTTCCTTGATGCGATGAAGAAATTGATCATATGTTGTGACTACAAAAATGTACATAATCTTGTCTGGTTTTTGCTTCCATTTCTCCAACAACTTATCATCGATTAGTTGTGGAACAGTGATAATTTTCAGAGCTTTTGGCCTCTAAGATAAAAATTCCATACGGATGCTCGAACTTGAGTAGGTAGTCTCACTCAATTTCTCCGTTGCAATAACTAAGAAACTTCCCATTTAAAAAAAACTAAGAAACTTCCATCTTCTTACTTGGTAACTTCTCCAAATTCTCTATTTCAGTCTTGCTAAAATAACTGTAGTCTCTTACTGCCTAATCAGGATCTCGTCACTACTGGCCCTCGATTGAAATAGTTCTAATAACGAAGGACAAGGATCCCTTTACGATGTGGAAGATCAGCCTAAACCGCAACCAAAAAGCATACGAGGAATACCCTTGGCCCCGATAACAAAGCACAAGGAACCCTTTTCTGATGTGGCGGATCAGTCTAAGCCGCATCCACATAGCATACGAGGAATAACCTTGGCTTTGATACCACTCGCAGGAAAAATTAGATTGAAATACTTTGTACAACTTATAAAGTTTGGAGGCTCAAACTAAAACTTTTATAAACATAAGAAATATTTTGGAACTTTTAGAAGAAAACTAATCACACTCTATTTATGCTCACGAACTCTCTTATTTCTTCCCCTTCCCACAACTCACTATTGCTTCTTCACTCTTTCTTCTTTGGGTAATGACTATTTATTAGCCAAACTCTTTTTGTATTCTTTTTTATCAGCCAAAACTATCGAAATACTAAGAATTAGCCAAATGTTAACTTTCACTTAGCGATTTTGTTAGTAATATTGACTTGGCAACACGATACTTACTTGGAAGAGACACATGAAGGTTAACATTCCACAGTTTTAGTATTTTAACTAAGAAAAGAGTTACAAAATTATTAACGATAACGTAAAAATGGATAATATTTTGTTGCATCACGAAAGATTTGGCTAATTAATATCATTTTAATAAATTTAGATAATATAAAAGAATCTGTAAAAGGTTTGGATAAAAAATAGACATTACCCTTCTTCTTCCTTTCTTCATCTTTATCTTTTTTGTTTTTGCTTATCTTAGGATGAGAAACATATGCACGCCCAAGACTATTTATAGTCAAGCTCCAACACCAAATTTCGATTCTACATTTTTTTCTTCCTTTTCTTTACCCACAACTAACTAGTTAATACAATCTCTTAGGGGTTGGCAATCCGTTCGGACAAACTGTATCGCTCGCAACTAGTTAAACTGCATCGAACCACTTATTAAATGGACCGTGCCGCATTTGGACCACAACCATACCAGTGCGATCGAGCTGAATCGCATAGATATGCGGTTTTGGTGAAGTCTAGACCGCAAAACCACATATATATGCGGCAATAGCGAAGCATCATTATTTGGACTTAAAGCAATTTCTTTTTTGTCGATTACTATTATGGGCGGTATTTCCTTGAGCGCTCTAGAGTCTAGACGTTCTCTCTGTCTATTATGGCTACACCGAGTTGGAAAAAAAATACTTAGAACGGAACACTTTTATCCTCCCTGCTTGCTTTGGGTATTCTCTCTGCCTCTCTCTGCTCACCCATCAATTCCCGATTCTGATTTTGTTATTAACAATGTGCTTCCACAGTTTCTTCTTCTCTTCACCTTCCTCTTCCTCATCGCCCACCGTGTTTCTTTTTAGTTTGACTAGCATAAGCCCGCTTACTGTCGCTTCGCGTGTGAGCGAGAACATGATATTTTAAAGATTAATAGTTTAAATTTTGATATAAAAGTAAAGGGCTTGTCATCTACAACTTCATATAGTCGAGGCAGCGATGAACTTTAATAAGTGAGAAGGGTCGTTGAGCAAATGATTTCTATGTTAAATCTTCTCTCGTAACACTATTGATTAGTTTGTATTCTTCTTGCTTTATTTTTTTTTCAAGTTCATTCTCAACCAAAAAGATAAAGAGACACTAAAGCTGATAAAACCATGGATTACGAAACCGTACCGGACATCAAACCGGAATCGTCTTTGGCATGGTAAATCGTGGTACAACCATGGTTCAACTGTTTCCTACCGGTAAATACCGTTTTTTGAATAAAAAATTTATTTTTTTATTAAAAAATCGTACCGGCAAAATTAGGGTACCATACCGGGAAAATACCGGAGTAAAACCGGATTATACCGCAGGTTTAAACCATACTTACTCATTCCCACTGTGAATATCAACAACCCCACAACATAAAGATTTCAACTTATCAGCCTAATCACAAAAAATTTCATTCGGATGGGCAAGAAATTTGAGAAAGGCGGCAATTAAAACAACAGAAAGAACAATCCAAATCCAAAGATATAAAGAAGAAGATCCATCGATTCTGTGAAAAATTACCTTTGGAATACGGAACCAATTGCTTGCAGCGCCAACGGAGGCGATGATTTCGCTGTCGAAGAAATTAATTCCAGTTGTTCCCGCGGCAGCAACTGGAAAATTGAAGCGGGGAAAAATTGAAGAAATTACTAACCGCGGCAGCAACCGGATTTGGGGGAGACGGGATCGTCCTCATCGTCGTCTTCGGTTGCTGGGGAGTGGGGAGGACGAGTCGCCGGCTGTTTGGTTGCTGCCTTGCTGGGGAGGACGCTGTCGCCGGGAGTTCGAGAGGCAGAGCGGCGCGGCGCGGGGCGGGGAGACGACAGGGAGAGCGGCGGTGCGGCGCGGGGAGACGACATGCAGAGCGGCTGGCGGCCCGACGCCGGGTGATGACAGGCAGACTGGCAGAGCGGCGTGGGCAGAGGAGGGAGACGAGAGGTAGAGAGAATCAGAGACGAAGGTAGGGTTTCTCCTCTGCTTAATGCTTTCCGTTTGTTTTTTTTTTTTACTTTGCGTCAAAACGGCGCCGTTTAGTAAAATGAAGCGGACCGCTATTGTTATTAAAACCGGCCGAAATTCCGGCCCATTGTGGTCCAACCGAAAATACCGGCCGGCATGATTCTGGAGGGTACAAAGCCCTTATTGGGCCGTTTCAGCTCCGGTTTCCGGTTTTCCCGGTCCGACCGGCCGGTCCGGTACGGTTTCCTGGTCTCTGGATAAAACTCGCTCATGACCCAAACTCGGCAACATCATGTTCAACTCTCTTTGATCGGATTGAACTGAGTTTGTAACAAATTCAAAACCGACCGACCCAGAAAATTTAAAAGCGTAAAAAACTCACACCCACCCGAGAAAATAATAAACACTAAAGTGGATAAAACTCGTTCATGACCCAAAACTCGGCAACAACATGTTCTACTATCTTTGTTCTGGTTGAACCGACTCGACCCACCAATTACAAAACGAATGAAACTCAATCCTTCTTGAAAGCTTGTAAACATCTGGTTCAAGTAATTTTTATAAAGTTAAATTAGGTTGGATACCCATAGGTTTGGGTTCTCAACCAAAAGAAAAAAGTAAATAAAAAAAATACTAAAGCAGATAAAACTCGTTCCCTACAAAAAACTCGGCAACACAGAGCATGTTGGTATGGATTTTCGATACCGATCTTGGGACACGGTGGACGGGTACAACTTAGGATTCCATCGAAAATATTTCGAGATATGGTATGGATCTTCGGTAGCAGTCATGGCAAACGGTGGAAGAGGACAACTTATGATTTTTTCGATAGTGTTTCGAGATGGGTTGCGAATTGGTGGGCGAAAGCGATGATTTGGGCGAAAAATCATTGGGAAAGCAATGAAACCAAAAGAGAAAGAGAAATAAGAAAACACTAAAGAATATAAAACTCGGTCCTGATACAAAATTAGACAACACAGAGCATGTTGGTAAGGATTTTCGGTAGCGATATCGGGACACGGTGGATGATGTAATTTCGATAGCTTTTCAGCTAAACACTAAACAGTTTTTTAAAATATTTCTTGAAACTATCTGAGAAGCTGCTTCATTAAGCAAAAGTTACAGCAGAATCAACTACTAGCTATACAATTGAAACATTAGCGTTACTAAAGAAGTTTAAACATAAATAATCTATCCAACGACCCTTCTAACTTATGCAAGTTCATCAACCTATGCATTGTAAATAACAAAACTATTACTTTTGAAAATATTTATTTTATAATATGCAAAGCGCTAGCGAGTGGGCTTTTGCTAGTCAATATTCAGCTACCGGAAAATTCCATATTAGAACAGTAATGGCCTGCTCTAATTGCTCTAGCCGTTTAAGTGAAATTATACTAAGTTTACCACCATGAGTTGAAAATGGAAGAATAGAGTAGTAGTGGTACTATGTTTTCAATAGCAGCAAGAGCATAAATGAACAACAGAGTTCTATTAGAACAAGGGGCAGCAGAAATCTCGTGGAAGTTGGGTTCCTGCGAGGATGAGTTGGGCTTTACTGTGGTTTGAGGTTTTCGATTTTTGAGCCGCGACAGTGCGATTTCGGTTTGAACGGACCACAAATCGTGAATCACATAAAATATAGACCACATTCTAGAGTGCAAGCTTGTCGGTGTAATTTGGTTTGACAACATATGTGGTTCAGTGCGATTTGATGCGGTCCGGCCGCAGCAATGCCCACCTCTACCATCTCTAGACAATTTCATTTACTTCACAATTTCCTCTAGTTGTGTTGTTTGCCTAAATATTATTTTTTATTAAACTTCATTGTTTTGCCCGGGAGATGATGATATAGTGTTGAGTGACTAAAAGAGAATTTAGTTCATTTTATTCACTTCGTCTCAAAGGCGATAGAAAACCGCGTGGTGAAGTAGACAAAAAAGCAGCAAATATAAATAGAGTATGAGGATATGATCAGCTAGCAGCAGAGCGCGATTTACCAGTACTGCATGCTCTGCTATCTTTTTATTCATTGTCTTCTCTTGGCTCGTGTTTGTGTGATCCAAAGGAAAGCGGAATGATTCGGTTGATCAGCACAAACTGCAGGAGCACACTCCACCATAGCAATTGGAGGATAAATTAGGGTTCATTGAGTTACAGTAATCGTCGCATTGGTTGCGATGGGTGCAAGCCGGCGCGGGCGGCGTATCCTCCTGTTCAACAGAGTAATTAGTACCGTTGGTTCCTCCCATGGCCAGCTGATTATTCCCCAGATCCGCTAACTGCACTGATGGACTCGTTCTTGACTCACCCGGTTTCAACATGCCTGCGATTCATATAAACCAGAGTATAACAATAAGGAAAAATATCCTTTCAGATTTAATGTTCACGAAAACACAACTAACAATGCTTCACTTATTTACAAGTTACAACCTGCAATCAGAACAGCAAGGATTATGAGTACAAGTGAGGATGCGATTCTCAAGGAAACAACAGGCTTCCCCATGATATTGCTTGTGGCCTGAGATGAGTACTGGATGTATTTTGGGTTTTGTAGAAATTGTTTGTTTGTTGATTGTATTAATTTCTGGCATTTGGGCAGGGGTTTATATAGTGCAGAGACGGATGATAATTCCAATTCGATCAATGGCTAGAGTTTGTGATCAATACAATACTTCAACCTATATATGTTTCTTACTTTGTTGTTTTTAATAGCATGGTATCTTTTAGAGTTTTGATTTGAAGAGTGTTGCGGTGATATTGGAGTACGTCCTTCCCCTCGTTGTAAACTAAAATAGTCGACCTTTATTTATTGGTTCTTTGTTGTGTACGGGATGTCGGCTGTAAGAGTATTAACTAGAGGTGTCAATCGGGAGGGGTTACGGTGCTAATTGTACAATAGTTAGCACCGTCCTAACTAAGGGAAAACTACTACTAGTTTGAATTAGTAGTGATTTAGTTTAGATGTTGTATTGATTTTATAATAATCCGTAGTGATTTTTACTAGTTATCACGGTGCTAACCCTTATAGGGGTTAGCACCTAATCCCATCCCGTGTCAATCGGGTAGCGAATCACATCCATATCCTTGTGTTTAATAATCATTTGTAACCTGCTACATCATTATTTATGGAGGGCTCTTAACCAATTTCTCTGTAAATTTAAACAGGCTATATTCCTTTTGTTTTACGTCGTAATTTTAAGTCATAATTTAACGGTGGCACATAAAATCATATCACGTGGTAGTGAAGTGTACCATGGTGGTATAGACATATCAAAGTGTATAATGGTTGAATACATGATAGTAAAAATATATAAACTGTCATTTACCGCATTCATCATTGTGTACCACTAGTTACTAAACCTATACCAAGGTGGTATGGAGCGGTACGTTTTGGTTTTGTATTTTTTTCTCATAAACTTGTAGATCCAATAGATCACGAAGGTTTCATTCCATCCGTGCAAAATAAATTAAAATTCGAGTTAACAACAAAGGTAGTACCAGGTGGTACCAAGGTAGTAACGAGTGGTATGAAATTTTTTTTGTCGAAATATATTGAAAATGAATATCAATTTGTAGATCATAACAAACTTGTTACATCTGTGCAAAAAAAAAAATGAAATCCAAGTTAGAACGAAGAAGATAAAAATCGATTAAAAAATTAGAGAAAATAAAAAACAATTAATTCTCACCCCCTTAGATCTGAACTTTTCTGGCCCCACTAAAATCTAAAGTTCCCTATATCTAGTTATAGAAGAGTGCATAACAACGAATATTCATCCTATCTCGGACCTCAATCGGCGGGTTCAGCTTGAAACTCAATCGATGATAGCTTATGTAAAAAAAAATGATTAGGAATATCAATTTGAAAGATTCTCAACTGATTCTCTTATGAAAAATTAAGAGGATTATATTCCCTTGCAAACATACAGATAGTACTAGTGTCAAAGATCTTATTACCCATCGTTAAGAACCAAACTCGAGCTAAACTTTAGTAGTTCCACAATTTTATTATGGCAAAATAAACTTGCATAGTCAAAACTTTCGAGTTTGTGCCAATAATAGCCAAATTTGGAGAAATAGCACTTGTAGCTAGAATTTTGAAACTTTCATGACAAATATAGCCATTTATGTTACAAATTTCAACGGTGTTAGAGAATATGTTAGTCAGGTTAACGTTAAAGTGACTAGGATACCAAATCATCGCACACGTCAGTGACAAATCATCATATCATTGTCACGTCATTTAATTTTGAGTTATAAAAATAATTAATTTAGAAACAAAAAATATATTTTCCCTAAATTTCCCCTATCCCTACCAGTCGTCTCCTTCCTCCAAACCTGGCGGCGGCGGCGGCGGCGAGCATTGATATGATCTCAAATTGGTCCTTAATCAAGCTGGAATTGATTGATCAAGAAGGTAAGCTAAGTATATTAAAGAACACTGAATTTTGGCGAAGTCCTTTTACAGTTTCAGGTAGCCAACTTTGGACGTGTGAAACTCTCTATTGGTTCGATGAAAATGGATGTTTGAGGGTATGTTTTGAAGCTGGTGTCACCCTCTACACGTTGACATGCTTTGGAGATCAATTGGAAACCCAGAAGGTTGTTTTACAGCCTGTGCAAAAGTGGAAGTTGAAACTGGAAAACTGGCAGAAAAAGACTAAGGCATGGAGACAGTTCGGGGATGGTACTTTGGAGCTCGATTCCTGGAGATTGAGGTAGAGTCGATTTTCCAGATTAATATCTCATGAAAGAGTCGATTTTCCAGATTAATACCTCGTGATTTATGGGCAGAAGCTGCAGCCACAACTTGTTATTTAATCAACCGTTCTCCGCATAAGTCATTGGATTATAAAATTCCAGAAGAAATTTGGACAGGTAAACCAGTTGATTATTCCAAATTAAGAATATTTGGTTGCCCATCATATTATCACATAAATGAGGGTAAGCTCTCTCCAAGAGCTAAAAGGTGTTTATTTCTGGGATATTCTATAATGTCAAAAGGCTATCGTTTTTGGTGTATTGAATCTCACAAGGTTGATCAAAGTAGAGATGTTACATTTAATGAAGATGCCTTATTTTCTGCCAAAGATGGTACTTCTTCGTCCCATGATGTAGAAAATCTTGAGACTCCAAGAGACAAGGTGGAGTTCGAACAACAAGTTGATTCACCTACCCATCTATCTTCTCTAGAGTTAAATCCTAGTGAAGTTCAAAATGAGCAAATGCCACCTCAAGTGCCACAAGATTATATCTTGGGTCGAGATCGGCCAAGGAGAGTTATACAAAAACCTGCTCGATATAGAGATGATGAGCTTGTTGCGTATGCTCTCGCCGTCGCACAAGAAATTTTAGAAGAAATTGAGCCTTCTTCTTTCAAAGAAGCTATATCTTGTGTAGATTCATCTAAATGGCTTGCGGCAATGAATGAAGAAAACGAAAGTTTGTTGAAGAATAATACATGGGAATTATGTATCATTCCTACGGGGAAGAAAGCACTTTCAAATAAGTGGATTTACAAAAAGAAAGAAGGAATTCCTGGCATTGAAGAGGCAAGATGGAGGGCACGGTTGGTTGTTCGTGGTTGCAACCAACGTGAAGGTAATGATTTCAATGAAATCTTTTCTCCTGTTGTGCGTCACACTTCTATAAGAATTTTTCTCTCTTTTGTTGCTCTCTTTGATTTGGAGTTAGAGCAACTTGATGTGAAAACTGCTTTCCTTCATGGTGATCTCGAGGAGGAGATATACATGAAGCAACCAGAAGGCTTTGTGATTCTAGTAAAGGAGCATATGGTTTGTCGCTTGAGAAATTCATTATATGGTCTCAAGCAAGCTCCTAGACAATGGTATAAGCATTTTGATACTTTTATGATTGAAAATGGTTATACACGAAGTCAATTTGATAATTGTGTATATTTCCAAAAATTTCCTGAGGGCTCCTACATTTATCTACTTCTTTATGTTGATGACATGTTTATTGCTTCTAAGAACAGAATATTGGTCGAAAGGTTAAAGTCACAACTACAAGGAGAATTTGAGATGAAGGACCTTGGAGCAGCAAAGAGGATTTTAGGTATGGAGATCCAAAGAGATCGACAAGCTGGTAAATTATTTTTGAACCAAAGAAAGTACATTGATAAGGTACTTGAAAGGTTCGGAATGATTGATTGTAAGCCCACTTCTACTCCTCTCGCTGCTCATTTCAAGTTATCTGCTGCTTATTGTCCAACAACAAATGAAGAAGTGGATTATATGTCTAGCGTTCCATATTCGAGTGCAGTTGGCAGTTTGATGTATGCTATGGTCTGCACAAGACCCGATCTTGCATATGCAGTAAGTGTTGTCAGCAGGTATATGTAAAATCCAGAAAAAGAACATTGGAATGTTGTGAAGTGGATACTTCGATATTGGAAGGGAACCCGTGATATGGGTCTATTGTTTGAGAGGAGTGAAAATCCTTCCAACAATATTATAGGCTTCACAGATTCTGATTTTGCAGGTGACTTAGATAAACGGAAGTCTCTTTCCGGATATGTTTTCACTCTCTGCAATTCATGTGTTAGCTTGAAATCTTGCTTGAAACCCGTAACTGCTTTGTCAACTGCAGAAGCAGAGTATGTTGCTATTTCTGAGGGAGTTAAAGAGGCTATTTGGTTACGTGGCCTAGATATTGAGCTTGGAGTTGAACAAATTGTTTCAACCGTATTTTCGGATAGTCAAAATGCCATTCACTTGACTAAAAATGACATGTATCATGCGAAGACAAAACATATAGAAGTCAAGTACCACTTTGTCCGAGATGTTATGGTTGCAAGTGATATTAGTGTGAAGAAAGATCATACTGACAACAATCCCGCAGATATGCTCACTAAAGTTCTTCCTTCAACTAAGTTTGATCGTTGTTTGAACTTAGTTGGAATTCGAAGAGCTTGATTACCTCTCAGGGGTTTCTGGACAACTCTTTCTAAATTTGATTGAAGGTGGAGATTGTTGGTATTGATGCCTTAAATTAATTCAAGACTTGGAGTTATGGAAGACACTTGAGGTTACTTGGGGTTATGAAAGTTAATGACCACATGGAGTTAATTGTGTTGAGTTTCTATTTGGTTAACGGGAGTGCCGTTCACTTTTTCTTTGGCATCTCATAAGCCATTTTACATGGCTATAAATAGGGAGTCTATTGTTGTTGAATAGACACACCAAATTCTTCCAACTCCTTTATTCTCCTAAAGTGTAGAATATCTTCTTGAGTACTTTTCTTTTATGTGGGGAGTTTTCTACTTACTCCACAACTTTGTACGTTGAAGATTATTCCTTGATCATAGTGGATTTACTGGCTTGTCCAGCCCGTGGTTTTTCTCCCTCCTCTTTGGAGGGTTTTCCACGTAAAATTGGTGTCTTGCCTTTGTTCATTCTCTTCTCTATTTTCTTGTTCGATTTCATATTGGGTTTGCTTTTGCTAGTGCTCATTTATATCCAGGTTTAAAAGTCTATAAAAGACAAGATAAAGCAAAAATATACCGTTGTTGGTGGAAGCCAACTCTGCTTGCCCTATTACTCATCCATCTCCTCTGTTCTCCATAATTACTGAGTTAGTTGCCTTATCATTCCTTTCGAACTTGTTATGTTGCACACGTTTTGAAGTTATATTGAGAATGTATGGTTTACAAAAAGATATAACAAACTACTTACTAATTGGGAAATTATGATTTACAATACGACAAAACTACTTACCACTACTACAATTTTAGTCACCTATGACAGCAACAGTTTGTCATAAGTCATAACAAGTCCAAAATTCGTGATAATAACTTTGTTTTGACAAACAATTTTTTTCATAACTTAACATTGCAGTCTTCACACTGCATAAATATGTCCAACCATTCAGGTTTGTTCTACATCGAGTTCATATTCTAAATTAAATGTCCTCCTGCAAAACAAAAGCTCTAACAAACCATGTTGCATGTCACGATCGTCCTTGCCCTTTCAAACAGAGGTGGTCACAGTTTAATGGATAACTTCCAACAGTCGGGATAATACATGTCCATAAGATAAAAAGAACCTAAAGTTCTTGCTCATTCCACACTTATGCAACTACATATGGCTATACAACTAATCAATACATTTCCCTAAAACTTAAACTTCCAATCCTAAGCCCTTCAAATCAAAGTAACTCTTGAATAATTTTTGCACAATTTATGCATTCTCTTATCCATCATAATACATATTGTAATTGACATTGTTTGAAAATGAATTACTTGCTCAAATGACGATTATGATGCAGGTGCATATCATGCACAAAAAAAGTGAGTGCACAAAAGACATAAATTTTTCTTAAATATAACTATTTAATTCTTTTTACTCACTTCTTTTGTTCCAAAATAAGGCTAACCCACATTTTAATTTAAAATTCCACTAACATGAAAATGGCGGTGTGGGCTTGGCCATCAATTTCACTTTTTGTTTTTTTATAAAACTAGTCTCAATAAATTGGAAAAAATACAAGACTCCCTTCTATTTTCTTAGAATAAGTAAATTACCAATTTATGAATAATTATTTGTTAGTATACACAAATAATATTTGATTTATATCATAATGGGAAATATATTTTATAATCCTTACATATGAAAACTCATCTTGACTCAAAAAAATAATTACTAGATTTTATAAATTAATTTGTATTTGTAATATGTTATTTTATTTTTGTCGGCCGACACACCTATAAAAAATAAATGGATCTGCCACTGCTTTTGTTGGCTATAAATAAAAGAAGGGATGACAAAGAAGTAGATCATCCAAACCATATCATATAACCCATTGTCTTCTTTATGTTTTTCCCTATAGAGATAGATGCTACGCTTTCCTTCGATGGAGGATTTTCTTTTTGGAGTATAATAATTATTAAACTTAGATTCCAGTCATATCATACATAGGGCTGGCAACCGGTCGGTTTTGGTTTAACCAAAAATTGAATTCTCGATTTTCGGTTAAACCGAGACCTGACCAGAAGCCATCGTCAACCGACCGACCACAGAGCCTCGGTTAGCCGCAAACTGACCGGGCGGTTTTCGGTTCAGGCGCGGTTAAACCGGGGCACCCGAGAGTTTGATGGACGGTTCGGTTCAATGGCCTAACCAACCAGGAAACTACCTTTTCTAAAAAAAAAAATAAAAAAAAACAAAATCTGCACCACTTTTTCAATCCTTATCTGCTCCTCTCTCCACCATTTCACACCCACCAAACCATATCTCCTCCTCTCTCCTTCCTTCCTCCACCAACCACTTCTCCATTCTCTCCTTCCTTCCTCCACCTGCTGCATGCAGGGAGACTTTGCGGGCGACTTTGACGGCGCCGGAGACGGGCTGTCGCTCTTCTTCTTCTTCGACGGAGCTGGAGTAGGAGAGTCCGACGACGACGACGGGGAGGTCGCCGGTGACTTCCCCTTCTTTCCCCCGGAGGTGGAGTTCGACGATTTCGACGGTGACGGAGCCTTGGCCGGTGATTTCTTCGGCGAGGCGCCCTTGGACGGAGCCTTGGCCGTCTTCTTGGGAAACTCCCGCCGCACCATCCACTTGCTCGACACCGCGATGGCGCGACCCTCCCGGCGGCGTCGGAGCTGGCTCCCTCGCTGGCGACGCTGATGACAGGCGGAGGCGTGACAATGACGCCGCTAACGGGGAAAATCGACACCTTCTGCGAGGGAACGACGAAGTAGGGGGAAGGGGTTTTCTCTGGGTCGCCTGCGCCGCTGCGCGAGAAGGGGGAAGGGGGATGTCAGTGAGGTCGAAGGAGGAGTTGGGGGGAGCGAGGTTGAAGTAGGGTTAGGACGGATAAAACGGCTCGTTTTGGGGAAAGGGAAGGGGGTCGGTTAGCCGGTTAACCGCCGATTTTCGACCCCGGTTAGTCGGCTAGCCGAACCCCTTCCCATCTCCTCCGCCAACCGACCGTTGCCACATGATACGGTTTTTCGGTTAGCTGAAAACCGGTCGGTTCGGTTGAAACCGTCCGGTTAACTGCTAACCGAAAACCGTTCTGCCTACCCTAATCATACATCCTCATTCAAAGATTATTCAAAACAATTTGAGTTGTGTTGAGAAATCATTGTCCAACAAATCAAATATGTAATGACTTCTAATTTGATGATTTGAAATTAATCGCCAAGTTTAATGAGTCAGATTTAAACTTGACCAACTTCAAAACAACTCTTCTAGCTAACCGGTAATATCAGCTTAAGTAGGAAAGCCGGACACACAGTAATCTTAAAATTAACTCAGATGGGATAATCTCTCGGTACTGAACTCTGGGTTTCGTCTCAAAGGCGATGGAAAACCACGTATTGAGATTGGCTCAAACAGGGTGGCGATCGAGCAGCAAACTAAAACACAAAAACCGAAGAAGAAAACATGATCAGCCAGCAGCAGAGCAGTATCCCATTCTACCAGTACGTACTTCCTGCAATTATTCTACCAGTATTAATTGATTCGGTCAGCACCAACTGCAGAAGCACTTCCAATCCGCACCGCAAAAGTAGGACAGTTCAGGGTTCTTTGCGTGACAGTAATTGATGCATTGGCTGTGTTCAGTGCAAGCCGGCGGGGGCGGCGTATCCTCCAGTTCGACAGAGTAATTAGTACCGTTGGTTCCTCCCATGGCCAGCTGCTTATTCCCCAGATCCGCTTCCTGCACTGATGGGCTCGTTCTCGCCTCACCCGGTTTCAACATGCCTGCGATTTATATAAAACAGAGCACGACAGCAAGAAATACTATCCATGAGCTTTTAATATTCAAGAAAACACAACTAATTAACAGTGCTTCACTTAATTACTTTACCTGAAATCAGAACAGCAAGGACTATCAGTACAAGAGAGGTCGCGATTCTCAAGTAAATAGCAGGCTTCCCCATGATGTTGCTTGCGTCTGCCGAACTGAGATTGAGTACTGGGTGTTATTTTGTGTTTTGTAGAAATTGTTTTGTAGGTTTGATTGTACTAATTTCTGGCATTTTGGCAGGGGTTTATATAGTTGGGAGATGGATAATAATTCCAATTCCATCCATGGGTAGAGTTTGTGATCAATACAATACTGCAACCTATATATATTTATTGCTTTGTTGTTTTCAATATGCATGGTATCTTTTTTACAGTTTTTTTTTTCTTCCCTTTTTGTACAGAATATCTTTTAGAGTTTTGATTTACAGAGTCACGATACCAGCTTCGAGTAAATCAACATTTTCAATTGACAAGCATTTTAACTTTCCCTGTGTATGATTAAATGGCATAACGTTCGTTTGGACTTTGGAATGTTAGTGGTAGGGTGTTGAAACAGGTGTGGTTATCGTGGTAATTGTTTTAACCGGTAGCATTTGAATAATTGGTTTGGTTGCTTAATTTTTTTAGCTTGTTTGATTTAAGTGGTTTGGTTTGGTTTTAAACACTGTTAACCGATCAAATCACATTAACCAGTTAAGTAATTAGCTATATATCTAATATATTATATAGACATACTTAATGCTTTGCATATCCACTCAAGAGTAAAATGTAAGTTAACTGTATTAGTTACATGTATATATGTTAAGGGTTAACTATAATTTTGGGTTGATTGTTATGTGTTATTTATTATATAAATTGTGAATTGATGCACTAACCGGAAAAATTTCTCACTTAGTAATAATGTGATGATATATTGGTTATTTTGGTTAACCAATTAACCAAACCGATTAAATTTTAGTTTGGTTAATTTGGTTGTCGTACTAGTTTGTACGATTTGGTTATGAGATTGTATTTCGTGGTAATAGAATTTAGGCTTATTTATTTGGTAATTACCATGGTAACCATTTGAACACCCCTAGTTGGTGGGCTAACCCAGATCCATTAATCGAGCTCTCATTAAACTAGGGATGGTTTGTTTGTTGGATTTGAACATGAGAATTTTGACACAACTTCAATTTTGTAATTTGGTGCATGAATTCGAAAGAGTCTATTTGTTTGTTTAATTGATTTGATCGTGGTTTTTTCAGTTATGGATTTATAGCTTTAAAATCTATATTACCTTACTATCCTTCTTACTTTTGAATTTATAACTAACTTTTGCTTGAAGTTTTATATTTTGTGTCCATATTGTTAATTTGTGCCGCAAGATTGACATTTTATAGCAAGCTCATTTGCTTATTGGATTTGAAAATGAAGGTTTTGAGTTTTAAAAATCTTTGAATTTATTATAGATATGTTGCATTATGGATTTGGAAGAGTACATCGTTTGTTAAGTGAATTTTATATTATGGATTTATGATGGATTTGCATTTTTGGCTTCCATTATCAAATCCCAAATGAGTTGTGGATTTACAAATACGTGAGGCCACGGATTGAATCTAAAAAAAAGATCTAATCCGTGAACCTCACTGATTTGTGTCTCTCACCAAACAATGGATTTACGTCAATTCCATGATACTCGAGAAACTTGTCATCTATGCTTGAATCCTTTGTAATCATTTTAAATCTCTTACTGGAAAGCATATCTATTGTTATTGGACTGTAATTATATATGATAATATCACTACGAATGGTTCATCCGGTAGATCAAGTATTGAAAGAGGTAGACCACTTGATGGAAGTGTTTTTGTATAATGTCTTTTAGTAGAAGAGGTTAACCATTTGTTGAACATAGTAAAATGGAAAATAGTACATCTGGTCGACCATTATAACAATGAGGTCGATCATTTTGTCCAAATAGGTCGATCATATCAGTAAAGAGGTCGGTCGTTTTGTCCAAATAGGTCGACCATATCAGTAAAGAGGTCGGTCGTTTTGTCCAAATAGGTCGACCTCATCAGTAACCAGGTCGACCATTTTGTCAAAGTCACAGTAACTTACAAGTCACCATAGCAAAGTCCAAAGCTATAATCTTACGATTTATAGCAAGTTCATAAAATCATTAGCAACATCACTTTAAAATGTGAGAAATCTCCGATCATCATCAATTCAAAAAATTAAAAAATGGTGATTCTCACTACTTATTTTGCTTTATCATCGACAAGAAGAAGGACAAGGGGGTTTTCTGAGATTTTAATCTTCATCTATCATAAAATCTTATTCCCCTCACAAAGAAAAGGCAACAAAGTGGCAAATACTGGTACCAAATTTGCAGTTCTAGTTGAGTCCTTATCTCCCTAACCAGTGAACCAGATACCAATGTTAATCAAGTTTTAGATTCAGAGTTCTGAGAGCCAATTATGCTTGATAATAAGTTCTGCACTTCTACTGATCTATCAGACAACCACCTAAAGTTATTATTTTTTAATTTAGAGTTAGCTTTCTGTTCGTTAAACAATACACTTGATTTAACTCACATCTAATAGGCTAACCATCATCTAGAAAGAAAGATTAAGAATATTAAAGTATATTGTTATAGAAAAGATAAATGAAATTTTCTGGGAACCATATACAGTACCAGAAAATGACGAACTTCCCAATTCAATGGAAGGTTAAAATGATGAGGAAATAACACACGAACAACAGAAGTATGTATTGTACAAGAAAAAGAAGCCTTTTGCCTTTGTTTGTGGGAGCTTCCAACTTTACCCACCACCAACCATCACCACACCAGCTGCTGCAACCAAAATGATCATCATCATAACTTTTACATACACTTTTATACATCAACTTTGACCTCCCTTTGACTGTCCTGAAAAGGTGGGAAACATGAAGAACCCAAAACACAGTTGTTATAATAATAATATTATTATTATTATTATTAAAGCATTTATTAGGCATGTGTCTCTGGAGATCCAATCTGGCATATGTCCATTTCTTGTCCACCCCCTCTTTCCCCAAACTTCCATCCCCAATGGTCCACATCCCCAGAGATAAAAAAAAAATGGACAGCTTGCTTATCTCAATCCCACCATTTTCAGTATTTCATTCTACTTTCCAAGCATACAGAAACAGGCAAAAATTGCTAGACGATGATCCTCCACTTTCATCACCATCACCAACTGATCCTCCTCCACTATCAAACCTCATTTCTTGATCACCATCATAATCAGAAGAAGAAGAGCAAGAACCTGACACTGGCTTGAATATGAAGAGCCCATGTCTTGGTCCAGAACCAAACAGCCAATCATGAACATCCCAATACACCTCCACTCTATCCTTGTTGCTCACAACCATCGACTCATTCCCTCTGAACTTCCACTGCAGATGCTTCACTTCAATCTCCCTCTTCCCATCCACTCTGATCTCCATCTCATGATCCACACCATTGCTGTTGCATTGAAGGCAGATCTCATGGTAACAACCTTTCTTCTCATGGTGGAACTTCATCCTCGTGACGAACCTTTTTTTACCAAACACATGTTCCCTTCTCGACACCAATGCCGGCTCGATTAGTGCAGGCCTGCACCGGGTTCTCAAGTAGGCATCGATCTTCAGATCGCCTAGAAGCAGAACAACTTCATCTTCACATACAATGGCCACATAGTAATCTGATCTCGGCTCCGTCTCGCCTTCGAATTTCACCGATTTCAAGTCCCACACCACTTCTACTGACTTACCATCGACAATGAACTGTTTCGATCCATGTTTTCGCCAGAAAGACCACGGCTTTAGCTCCACTTTGCACTCATGCTGATGATGTTCATCCGTATGATCCCTACTACTAGTACTACCACCATTGCTGATGTTGCTGCTACTGGCTTGGACTGAGACAGACAGACCATGTAGCAGCAGATTCTTGCACCATGTGATTGTGATGAAACGAGGTTTTCCGGCCAGGTGGGTTTTGTAGACGGACATGAACACCGACTGGCCTGATCTTGTCACCACGGTGGCTGCTTGTTGTGGTGGTGGTGCTGGCTGCTCGCCTGAGGAGGAGAAGCAGGCAGGGATGGCGATTGAATCATGCATGGTGTTTGGACAAGAGAGAGAGAGAGAGAGAGAGAGAGAGGGGGATGGCAAATTGAGGAAACAGGAGAGAGCTTTTGGGTCAAGAAAGTTGGGGAGAGAAAGAAGTGATCCAAGAACGTGGAACTGTGGTATTGAGGAAGGGAAAGGAAAACAGGTTTTATACTAGAGAGAGAGGAAATGGAAACACCCACCACTAAACCAAGTTTCCATGCAAGGTAAAAGGCAAACAGACAGCTTCCTATCTTTCCATTATGCATCTCAAGAAGCTCAGGTTTAAAGAAAAGCTTTTGTTATAGGAAGAGAGCATGTGGGGTGGGGCAAGAGGCAGGAACCAAGCAGCTGGTACTGAATTTGGACGCTTTTATTTGAGCTGTTATGTTACCTTTTTCCTATCTATTCGTTTTAAGTTTTTGAAGAAGAAAAACAAATTACAGAGTTTCACTTTTCACTCTGCTTTTGCCTTCCAATCATTGTTACTTTGTTAGGAATATGATTAAGGGAGAGGAACCTTGAGATGGAAAACCTCAGGAGGAATCTAAGGACTCTCAATGTACAGATGGCTATTTCTCCGGCACTGGTTCCCGATTTGAGAACAACCATCGACGACGGATATTACTGCACATAGAAGCATCAATCCTAGCACTGGTGTTGGAATTCGTTCATAGGAATGCAACTGCAGCACTCTTCTTCTTCTTCTCCTTAGGTTACCTTAAATCAAATTCAAGTGCTGCATGTTCTTCGCTACTAGAGAAGCGATCATGGCAGGTGAAGAATTGCCGATCAGAGGCGACATTTGTACTTCTTTCCTCGCTGGTTAGTTTTCTTTTCCTCTGTACTGATATATGAATATGATGACAGAGTAAGCGCTTGATGCAGTTACTTCCTACCGTTTTCTTCTTCTTTGGAGAAAGCCTTGGAGTTAAGATCAGTGTTTTCTGGTTGTTAGAAATGGCGGGCCTAGAAGACTACTTCCTGCTGCATGTTGGAACTTGCAAGTTGTAAGTGCATATGCAGGCTTGAAGTAACATATGATATATTATAAGGTAGCCGAGGATTCATGGTTACCTTTTTTTCCGGTGGAAAAGCTGGCGCAAAGGAGTGCCGTAACCCGGATTCATAGTTACCTTTGAAGAGAACATGATTTCTGGTAAACACAGACTGCAAGAAGACCTGCTTTGCATTGGCTGGAAATTTCAGTGGTGGTCCAGTGAGAGACCATCCATGTTATGTTATGGTCATGACTCATAAAGGAATATATGATTGAGCTAGAAAGCAACAAGGTAAGTGGCAAAAGCAAAATGGAGGGGCAGACGAGAAGTGAAGAAGAATGCTGGCAACACTTGGCAGTTTCCAAAGAGGATGATGTTTCGCTAATCTTATGAACGACAAAAAAACCTTTTTTCTCCCTCTCAAAGGGTAGTGGAGGAGACCCATAACTAGTCCGGCTGCACTGCAATGCTTCTTACTTCACATATGTACACAAGGAAATGAATGATTGTATGGTACATGACAATTAGCCAAGCTAGACTCATTGCTTACTTCTGAAGTAACTAAGATCAATTATCATCACAGTTATATCATCTAAACTACCTCTACTTACTGCGAGGTTCACAAGCTCCTTGCAAGCACCGGGAAGCCCTGCGATTGAGGGAGGAGATTTCTGGATGTTCTCTTTGATGAGAGAAGACTCTGTTTTCGTTTTGATCTTCTTCGCTAGGGTAATCCTCCTCAACTTCAATGGTGGTATGTCATTTTCACTGGGAAACTCTTCTTCTTCCTCCTTATGAGTTGGTGACGGCTTTTGTAACCTATGTTGTTCTTGCTGCTTCACAAGCGAGACCCTTCGCAGCTTCGATGAAGGGCTCACATTTACTTGCCCACACTCGATTCCATCCAAGAGAAGTGGCCCTGACTTCTTCTCAGGCATACATGATGCAGTGACAATGTCAACAGGGCTCACATTTACTCGCCCACACTCGATTCCATCCCAGAGAAGTGGTCCTGACTTCTTCTCAGGCATACATGATGCAGTGACAATGTCAACAGCTTCTTGATTCTCAACCTAAAGCATCCAAACAAAAATCAGAGGGAACATTAATTAAGATTGACTAGTAGAACCAAATGCTTCAAATGTTGCAAATGAAGCTAATTTTCAGGCTTTCCCTTTTTTCCTCACCACTTCCCACAATCCATCAGAAGCCAAGACGAGAAACTCCATGTCTGGTGTCAGGTGCAGAATGTTCGTGTCTGGCTCAGCTAACACCCATTCCTTTAGATGGGAATCTCCAATGCTTCTAGACACAGAAAGTATCCCATGCACTCGCCATGCTCCTCGATGGAACTCAACATAACCTCCCTGTGTATCAGAATTTCATCAGTACATAATGCATAGAAATATATATCAAGCTTGCTATATGGTCTATTAATAGTTTGCAGTATTTTCTACCTTATTCTCTATCCTTTGCCTTTCATCCTCTCTTTCTGCTCTGTGGTCTATTGTAAGGGCTTCTGCCACTCCTCCTTTACATAGAACAGCCCTACAATCTCCCAAGTTAGAAACAACCATTTCTTGTCCTTCGATTAAGGCTGTCACACAACAAGCACCGCTCAACAGACCCTGCATAATTTGTTCCCACGTCAACTAAAGAGAATCTACCAGAACCAGTGAAATTGCATACAAATTCTTCCTCCAAAAGGAACTGGATACCAAAAAGAATCTCTAACAATCAACACTCATTCCTTGCATTCTACAAAAGGGGTTTTCTCAAGTTCAACAGTCTATATCTGCTGGAGGAACTTCACATTATTTGACAATCATATAATACATTCTCTTACCATTCCTTGAGTGGAAAAAATCAAACCCTCCTCTTTTTCACCAGTCAATTCTTGAGTTGGTTTTGAATGGAATGCAGTCTTAGTCACTAAAGATGGAATAATATTGCAAGTAGCCCAATTCAAGGGGGGAGAGGGAAAATGTCTGATTGGAAGGAAACGAACCCAGACCTGCTCCAAGAACTGTTGGTCTGTCTTCAAATACCCAGCTCTTAAGGCTTCTTCTTTAGAAGACTCATCTCTACAATCTACCATCGTTGCCATGATATTGCTGTGGAGATTCTCGGCAACGAATTCGGCAGCTTTCCTCCCACCATGCCCATCATAAACCCCAAAAAACCCCTGCCGAAATCCAATTAAGGAAATTAAGTAAAGAAAGCGAAAGAACCCTAAAACAAGAAAGAAAGAACAAAGAAGAAGAAGAATCGCATTACACTGCGGGAATCGCCATTCAAGCAGGAAACGATCTTGTGGGAATCTTCCATGAACTTCTTCTTCCCTTTGACAGCAGAAACACAAACCCCCGGCCCAGAAGAAGAAAGGAAGCCGTCTCGCCGTGGAGTTGGGGCGGCGAAGTCATTGAATTTGAGGTTGGCATCTTCGGACTTGATTTCTTGAAGGACGCTGGGGATCTCAATCATGGGCGGCCGCTTCCGCTTCAAGGAAGAGGTCAGAGACGGTAACTTGAGGATGGAATTGGGGAAATTCGCCTCCACTTTGTGAGCCATTGGAGCCTTTTCCCACCTTTTTTCTCTGAGCAGTTGAATGGTGAACTGTTTTAACGGCTATGAACCTCCTGAGCTGGACCTGGACAGAGCAGAGGGGAGAGAGACGGAGAGAGGGAAGGAGCGGAGGATTTTAGATGGGTTTTTTTGGGGGGGAAGGAGTCGATGAAATAATGGTGAAGACTGAAGAGAGAGCCGTTGGCGTTATAGTGGTCAAAAGCTTTTACTGTTGAGTTGATAATAGCCAGCTTGTCGAGCGAGACCCAACGGCATCGTATTGACCACTCGTAGGTCGTAGCTCCTGCCTACGTGTCACGATTTTGGCGTCACTTTCGGATTCATTCTTTCATCTTCCTCCTTCCTGTGCCCGTCGCCGGCCATCTTCTCCAACGGAACTAAACCACTCCGCCACCGCCGTTCCACACTCCTATCTCCACCTAACCTCACTTAGGAACAACGACAATCTCCTCCTCTCCTTCTCCTTCAATCTACATCCTCTCCAGCTAGTAACCTCCCTCACGTGACATAATCACCTATTCCAGATGATCGCGGAGAACCGGATAAGGCGGAGACGGCGATGCTTCCCTCCGCCTCCGCAATCGTCTCGGCTGTTCGTCAAGATTCCACTTCGGCGGTGGAGTTGGAGCAAAGATTCCACTTCCGGAGAATCGTTCATCCAGAATCGATCCTCTCGGTAAAATAGTATTCCGACACTTGGATCAATTCGTTTTGCAGTTATCAATCAATTCCAGAAGTTTCTGGTTTCCGCAGGTGTATGTGAGGACAAGCTGGGAGCTACGTGATGGACCAATGGGAGTTGCGGCGGGTAGCTTCTCTTCTAAGAACAGATTCCGACGACGAGAGAGCTGCTGATGCTGCACTCAGTCGCAGGCTGGTCTGTGTAACTGTAACGCAGTTTCTTGTAATTGAAATTTGTTGCTTCTAAGTGAGTGATGAACCCTATCTTTTCTCAGTCGTATGCAGATAGCATGTGTATTTGAACCAAGCGCCGTTGTGTTTCCAATGGTGAGACATCCCTTTGTTGTTGGGTTCTTGGTGGCTGAGCTGCCAAATTGGAGATGGAAGTGCCATCTGATGTGCAAGATGAAGGAGGAGGCTTGATGCATTGCCCTCTGGAAAAAAGTTCATCAAGCTTGTTCCGAATTGGATGAAGCATGGTTGGGAAGTGGTGATGAGTGATGACGATGATGAGCTGCATTCTAGCGGTCACAGGTTTCTTCGTGCTGACCAAAGATTGCACGTGATTATTATCTCAGGTCTCTGGTTATGGCTTATGTTATGGATCAGCTAGTTTACTGAAAGATTTCATTCCTCCGTTCTTGTTGCATACTTGCATTTAGGATTAAAAATGGTTGAACTTTTGTGTTGCTCTAGTCTTGCACTCTTTTTCTCTTGTTGCAATAGATAGTAAAAGGAAGTAGGGAATGTCAATTGGTTGACTTAGTGTGTGAACCTTTTAAGGCTCATGAGCCCTTTTCCCTGTGAACAGAATTATAGAAAGCAATGTTGCTACAGCACTCGTCATGGCAAAATAATGTTGGAATGAGTTGGCTGGTTGATTATGTATACTGTTTTTCATTCAGGGTCTTGTGCTATCAATCCAGAACATTGCTAACACTGGTTATGTTTTTCATAGATCCGAGGATCACTTACTAACATTCAAACATTGTGTAAAATGTTGACTGTTCACGTAAAGAAAACTGAGGTACGTATTTTTTGCTTAAACTGGGATGTGTTTCTTCTATTTGTTCTTCCTCTTGTGATGAGGATCACTTACTAACACTGGTTATCTTTTCCATAGATCCGAGGATCACTTACTAACATTCAAACATTGTGTAAAATGTTGACTGTTCACGTAATGAAAACTGAGGTACGTATTTTTTGCTTAAACTGGGATGTGTTTCTTCTATTTGGTCTTCCTCTTGTGATGCCAACTCTGCAAAATGCTACATTATATTCTTTTTTTGCAGATTTCTAATGATATACTTGCACAGGTGATAACATGAGAGATACTCTCCAAGAACTCCAGGATGCTGTTTACATGACAAAGGCATGCACTGTTTCTGTCTCTCTATTTCTCAACGTTCTTATCAACACAGTTGAACCTTTTTCTGTCAGATTTTCATATTAAGACCTAGTGTAGGGCAATATAATGAGGTATAACGAAGAATCCTTTACAAGAACCAGCACTTCAACAAATACAAGTCCCGAGGAGCAGGTTCTCAACTACCACAGAACCTACGAAGAGATAAAGACACCAAGTTGCAAAATCTCGGTGATTCTCTTAGGTTTGGTCCCAACGACTTGGCGATGCCCATGCCCCCTCTCTCTCTTGCACCATTAGACACAGTTGGAATAAGGTGACCGACTAATTCAAATATAAGTCCTGTGGTATCAAACTTGTAATTTGTGTTCCGATGGCCTGTAAAAGAGAACTTTCTGCTGCTTATGCTTGCATTTGTGTCAGGAAGACCATGCACATATCTGAGGTGATATCAGACATAGTTGAAGCAGTGAAACCTCTTAGCCATATGCAGCAACGCTTAGTGAAATTGATGGATCTCTCCCCATCGCTGCAAGTTGCAGTGGAAGAACCAGCTCTACGACAGGCTCTAAGGAATTAATCAAAAGAGCTTTATTACCCACACAAGCTGGGGGCAGAATGGAAATCATATCAACTGGAGCACCAGCAGGCAGAGTTCTTGTGATGATCGATGAATGATGGCCCAGATATGCACTATATGGTTAGCTTACCTACATTCTGTGTCTGTCCATTTGCTTGTCTACTTTATCGAAAATTGAACACTATATGTTGGTGCCTTGATATTCAGTCTACCAATGATATGCTCTATATGGTTAGCTTACCTACATTTTGTGTCTGTCCATTTACTTGTCTACTTTATCGACAATTGAACACTATATGTTGGTGCCCTGATATTCAGTCTACCAATGATTTAGGAAGGTACCTTGGGGTCCCTGTAATTCATGGCAGGATTACTAAGGCCACCTATAGAAATACAATTGATAGTATGGATAAAAAGCTCACGACATGGAAAGCTAGGACCCTCTCCTTGGCTGGTCGTGTGACTTTAGCTGTCTTAGAAGCGATTCATTCATATGCTATGCAAACAACCTTGCTTCTATTTGTGAGACTATTGATAGGAAGATTAGGTAGTTTGTTTGGGGTTCTCAGGACAGGAAAAGGAAGGTCCACCTGGTGGATTGGGATACAAACTGTAGGCCAAAGAACCTGGAGGATAGGGACTTAGATTGGCTAGGTGTTTAAATCTAGCTCATGGTCAAATTGGCTTGGCACATGCTGAATAATGAAAATGTTTTGTAGGTTCAGGTACTGCAAGGAAAGTATTTCCGTCACAAGTGTACGAGGAAAGGGCTAGCTAACTTGGAGTGTCAGGGATGGAATGGAGACTGGTTTTTGGAATTTTCCGTGGCTGGACAACCACACCGTCCTTCAGGATTTTGCCCTACTTGATCTGACTTCGAATGAAATAAATTCAAGTGTTGTTGCAGAATGGATCAAAGACAATGGTGATTGTGACTGGGAAAGTTTAAGAGATTACCTGCCTAAGGAGATGTTGATTGGTAAGCAGGGAGGCCCCTAAACCAGGGATTGGAGAGGTTAGGACCATCTGGGGAGTTGAATGACAGGAGATTCAGACTACGTTCAGCCTATGATCTCGTCACAGGCGAAATGGAGGCAGAACCACAAGAGATTTGGAAGGACCTTTGGAAATGGCAAGGCCCCAGCAGAAGAAAGCCTTTCCTCTGGCTTGTTACACACAATCGACTCCACCATACAAGGAATTTCGTGAATCAGCTCTATATTGATCACGTCATCTCTCTTTTTGAAAAGTATTTTTTTGTAAAATTTGACCGCATGAACTTGAAGTTGACCTTGGTCCTCGATCTAGTTGTTCCCCTCATCTAGTAATTTAACCACATTATTCATGAGACTTCTCTGAATAATAGAAGTATGGAAGAATCTCGTGTTTGCTATCTCCAAAATTGAGCCTTTGGATTCTTGAGCGTTATCTCCAAAAAAATTCCCCCTCCTTCCAAAATTTTTGAATTTCGATTTGCATGTTCTACTCTTCATCGTCAAATTCAGGGATGTTGGTAAGCTCCAGTATCACTTTCTGTCTTCGCTCGATTTCTTTAATCCTGACAGCTGCATTTCTCACGGTAGTCTTACTCCAAGTCTTAAGTGCATTACTACAGATTGAGAGATTTGAATGGTGATTTTCTCCCCGCTCCCACACCCTTTTGATGATTTCTGTACATTGCTCATAGTGGATCCATTTGTGATCGAAACGAAATATCGCTTTTTGTCTATTCCTTGTACCCATCATCTCTAATCTCGAAGAGAAATGGCCAAAACCCTTCATGGGTTCATTAAAAATAACAGCTCTGCTAAAAGATTCCATCTAAGATAAATAATATAGTACATGATCAAGTCTGACAAAGATTTGCCTTAGTCTCTGCTACATATTTGACCACGTAAAGCTTGGTCCTTTGAATTTGATGTCCAAGAGTTCGTTGTTGAAAACGAAGTTCTTAAAATGTTCAGTTGAGCTACGCGTAGAGGGATTGCCCCCTTTTCTCTCCATCGTTAAGGATAGCGTTATTGTCTCCCAACAAAAGCCACAGGATATCATTAGTGGGTTTGAGAAGCCCTATTTCCTCCCAAAACTCCATCCTAACTGCCGAATAATTTGGGGCATGGAGAAAAGTAATGAAAAAACCACCCCGAAATTGACAAAAGCATGAACTAAAAATTCGGAAGAGTCTACAATATTGATATCAAGTCTATTGACCCACCAAAGAGCTAAGTTATCCCTACTACCCAAAAAGTTATGTATCATTTTCATTTGTTTAAAAATTTGGCCCTCCTCCTTACAATTTCCATATAATTGTCTAGTTGCTTAGTCTCCATAAAAAATGTGATCATTGGTCTATAGGACCTATGAATACTCCTCAGATAATTGATAGTCATGTCGAAAGCCGATACCACGATAGTTCCATCATATTATAGCCATGGCTCTCCGTGTGGCTTTTGTTGAGCCACTTGCACCTGTGCAGTCTTCAGGATTTCCTTTTCTTCTCCCATGGCTTCAAGTGAGTCTGCTCCTGAATGTGAATTCTCGTCTTCCTCCTACTAGAAACTTTTAGCTTCTTTCTGGGTTGAACACTTCTTAGGTCCTAGGTGCTGAGATATTGGGCCCCAATTTGATTGTTATTCCATATCAGGTAGGGAGAATGGGCTTGGTTAGTAGACATGTTCTCTTGCAGCATGTTTAAGTATTTTGAGCTCGAGTAGAAAGCTTGTTGGCCCAACAAAGGGTTGTAGAGAGGCAGCAATGGGCCAAGAGGGTTTGGACCCCATGTGATGGCTTCCTTCCATGCAGCATATTCTTCATTCTCTTGGCCTTCTTCTTCATCCCTACTTTCATGTCCCTTAAAAAGCTGTCTTGGCTTGTATGGAGAGAAGCATGTTGCCTCCTTCATCGGTTGGAATTGTCCCCCCAAAGTAGCTCTAGGTGTCCCAAAACCAGGAGGAGGACCGTTGCTCTCCTTCTTGTTTGCATTCCTCTTAACTGTTGTTGTCACATGCACTAGGTTACTTTTGCTAACACCAACATTCGCTTCTCTCTCTTCCTTGGGAACCCCGGCCACCGAAGAGCCTTCTGTCCAGCAACTGGCCGATTGAAGGATCTTCATGGAGAAGTTATCTCTCGTCTTGCTTTCAACTGTGCCAGGGGTACTCTTCTGGGAGCTGGAAAGGGGCGACGACATGGAGTGCTAGCCTGCCCGAGTCTAGTCGATGTATCTACCCTTCACTCTCTGCTCTTAGTGCTTGCATACCACCTTTGAGTGACCTATGCATCCTCAGTAGTAGCAGAAATTTAAAGGTAGGCGTTTGTACTTGAATTACACCCATAGATCTGGCAATGAGTCACTATGAAGATAAAGCCTAGGGCAAAGAGGTTTTGCTAGAAGATTGTTTGGGATAGAAGAGTTGTAAGTTTTTGCCTTCTAAGGTTAAAGGTATATAATGAGCGTATGGCAGGTAATGGACTTATCTTCCTCAGAAATTCTAGAGGTAGTTGGGTCATTTAAGGTTTTTTCCAGGTCGGGAGTTTTGGGGGCAAGGAGGTTTTGTTTCGGCTCTACAAGATAACGAATGAACTCTTTTTATCTGTAACTTGGTGCAGATGCCCTGCCTTAGCTGGATCATCATAAAGAAGATCCATTGTTCCTTCAAGTTTTTGTGCTTCCACTTCAATTTATTTCTCTGCAAGTAGATATCTACCCAATCTCCGCCGGTTGATGGAATGCTCAAGCTTCTGCCTTCAATTCTTTTTGGGGCTCTATGGTCATTACTCCTTATGATCCTTGATAAATTAGTCTCGTGATTTGATCTGCAACAGGGAGATTGTTTGTATTTCGTTCCTAATGATTGCCGCCAATGTAGTCAAAATCGCGATTTAAAACTTAAAACTTCCGATTTTACGTTTCTAGGTCACTAAAACGCTTCTACACAAAATCTCAGTTTTTATAACTTATGTAGTTAAAAACTCCGCTTTAAAACTTAAAAACTTACGATTTTACGCATCTAGATCAACAAAACGTTTCTATGTAGAAACTCGCTTTTGACTACATTGATTGCTGCAAAAACAAGTTGGAGATTTTTCAAGTAGCACATCGATCCATTAAGGATATTGCAAGCCCCACAAGGAGGGTTGTGAGAAAGGTATATAGATTCAAGGTATGTGGTTCTTTTGAAACTAATTAGAAATTGAAATTAATCTAATAATTTGAATTTAATAATGTAGTAGCATTTGAAACTAATTAGAAATCAAAATTACTATAATATGCAATTTATCCATCTTTTGATGGCCCGACAACTTGTTGACCATCGTGCTTTACTTTTTTCCTTTTGTTTTGACCTTTTTTGGTCGTGTATATTCTCGTATTGACTCACTCCTACTGTCACTCTAGAAAATGGCCAAGTGTAACCACTTCCTAAAGCGTAGTATAGCGGGTTTGGGTTTTAATGTCAACCCGGGTCCTAGATGTGATGACTACTCAGTGAATTCTTATTATCTAGCGGTGAAACTTTAGTGCAAGTTCAAACAAGAAAAAAGACAAAGCAAGTTAAACGGTTGTTTCAAGTCGAGAGAGGTCACCCAGATATGGTTCCCCCTAGACTACAGTTAAGCCGGAATGCAATTACCAAGTTTAGTTTCTATGATAGTTATACTGCGGAATGTTCTTAAACAGTCTGAAGTCTCGACTAAAGGTCTCCAGACCCTCTCAATCCGAGTCCCCAGCGGGGGACTAACCTCCACCGGAGTAAACAGATTGAGGCCCTAACGAATAAAACCTCCACTACCGAAGCAACTTCGGTACAGAATAGTGAACTGGCTCCTCGACTAAAGTCGCCAATTCACTACCTTCAACTAAGGGTGCTCTATTAACCTAGGCAGATATTCTCATTCTAGGGTAAAGCAGAAATAACAGGAATTTGATCAGAATTCAAGTCATCCAATCATTCAAGCCTCAATTGAATATAATCAAATCATAAAATCGGTACTTGGGTTCATACAATCAAACCTAACATATAAATCTAGGGTTCTCCATACCCAGATGAATGGGGGAACTACTCCATGGATAAAGAAGCAAAAGCAGATTCAGATGCGGAAACCATACTGTGAAGGATGGGTTTCAGCTCCTGGTCGTCAATCGACACTTCTCCAAGCTCAAGCCGGGCTCCAATGGTGATGAAGATCAAGCTAGGGCACTTGGGAACTCTTGTTCGTCACTTTCTCTCTCTAGGAATCGCTCTGTCTCTCTAAAACTCGGAACTCCCTTCTCCTTTGCTGAAAATTGGCTTAAAACCAGAAAATCCTGACTCACACGGCTAGGCCACACGGCCGTGTGACATCCCCAGATGCCCGTGTGGCTTTGCAAAACGCAGTGTTTCGTTAAGTGACTTCAGGCTTCCTACGCGGCCACGACCCACACGGCCGTGTGAGTGACCAGGCTGCCCGTGTGGGATTTGCCGAGCCTTCACACGGCCACAACGGGTCTCCTACACGGCCGTGTGGCTATAGGCATGCCCGTGTGGCTTCTCAGCTTCTCGCCAAACGTCCAAACTTCGTCCAATCGACCCCGAACTCGTTCCTAAACCTTCATTCACGTACTAGGACCTGAAATATCACAAACAAGAACAACCTAGCGTGAAATCTGCCTAAAACGCGGGAATCGACATCTCAAACGGCTCAAGAATAGGGGTAGAAACATTTGTAATTATTGGTCTATCACGTATCTGGCTATTCCTTCCGGAATATCTATGGCAAAAAAAAAATTGTCCATCTTTTGATGAATTGAAAGAGTTGTCATCGGTTTTCCATTCTCATTGTTGCGGCGGGTTGATAATTAGTAATCGTAGACAGTGTACACTACTTTCTCCTTCCTATCTTGGTGTTATTCCTTGTCTGTTTGAGCTGCCCTGGGGACTCAGAAATCATTAGTCACAAATTTTGGTGTAGTCAACAAAAAGTATGATAAAAACTTATTGTGACATTATCATGTAGAGTTGGTGATGAGTGGAAACATACAAATAGTTGTTGCATTCCGAGGTAAAATATTTACGTGATTGCAAGTAGTGATGGTAATGGGTTGGGGTTACAATCAACCCATGTTACCGAATAGGCAAGAGGGTTAGCATATATATCCACCCACATCTTGATTCGCTAAATGTGCGTTGAATGGTTCGTACTATTGAAATGGAGACCTAACGTGTTTATATAGTTATTATTTGGAACTCCTAGTGTGTATCATTCAACATATAACTGGCCTAGTAAATCTTTCTTTATGATATTTAATATGACTGAAAACTAGTCTAATGAAAGAGATATAGGGCGAAACAAACAATGTGTTGATTAGAGCATCTCCAACAATGTCAATCTCTTGCAATTTTAAGTGTGGTCCCAATTGCCACTTCAGCAACTTTAACAATTAACTCACTCCTCATTTTCATACCATCTACATCAATGCCATCAAGATGCAATTGTAACTGTGGGTCCTACTTAATTTTCAATACAACTCAATATGAATTTGTGAGTATGTTTTATTAATTTGAGTTTTGTCATCTTAACGCGTTTAGTGTGTTTTTCTCTCAAGTTGTTCTTTGTCGTTGTGTTATTCGAATTATATATGAACCTTGATATTTGAATTATATATCAATCGTGATAGGAATTTTATTTAATGATTATTTTAATTACATACAATATATAAAGTATTATGTAAACTAGAAATTCAATATATAAAGTATTAGGGGTGTGCCTAGGGTGACATGCATGTCACTGTAACATGGACTTTTCGGTCAACCGAATTGACTAATTTGGGCACCCTGAGGACTCATCGCGATCGACCTCAAAGATCATATGGTTGACCGTTTGTAGTTTAAATTGTTATTTTTGGTCAACCACAATAAAACCTCGGTCGCCCTTTTCGTTGGCGTCAGAAGCAACATGGTCGATCGTAAAGGTATATTAGTCGACCACTTGATGGCGATCATTAACAAAATGGTAGACCATTTACAGAAAGAGACCAACCAGATTGAAGAGAAGTTTTGTATCCATTTATCCATCATATTTGACGTAAAATGAAGATCGCGTTGGTTTCGTGGTCGACCCAATTCGGTACTAGGTCGAACGGATATAGGTAAATCAACCTATGCACTGCATCTTTTTTGCTTATGTATGTCGAATGCTAAATTAGGTCGACCTCACCTTCGACGTGGTCGGCCACTTTCAACACGTAGAACAGTAACCGCGAACGATCTTCTTCACAAAGGCTCTAACCATAAATATAAAAAAAACCTAATTCAGAGTTTTGGTGTCGGTGAAGGTGACATATATTCGTATTTATAGATATTTAGCACATGAATGGGTCGAATTAAGTGGTAGATAAGTTAGGGTTACCTTTCTGGTGTTGGAATCCTTATCCTATACGGATACGGTGTGCATGAGGTCGAACTCGTACTTATGCGATCGACATTTTAAGTGCAAATGGTCGGTCGATGAGGTATTTGGGTCGACCTTTCGTTCTGTTCGCTTCCCAAAGAGGTCGACCATTTGCTATAGACGGTCAACCGCGTCGAACCTCACAAAACTGAAACAACATGTTCGGTCGATCTAATCCTATATTAGATCGATCGGAAAGTCCATGTCACGGTGACATGCATGTCACCGTAGCAAAGTCCAAAGTATTACGATTGGAATTGTATATATGCGTGTGTGGCATGTATGTTGAGAATGAAAAAATAAACACAAACGAAAAAGAAAGAAGGAAAGAAAGAAAAAGAAACCCAAAGGACAAAAGCTGGGCCAGGATGCAATTGCATGGAAATTTTCATCAGATGCAAATTTGCAACTTTTGCAATTGATCCCATTTCAATGCCACTCACCATTCCACTTTCACTCCCTTGCCACATTAGCTTGCAATTCTCAAGAATTGCACCAATTGAGATGGTCTTTTCATGGTTAAGAATTTCATTAGTTAATTGTAGTCGTAAATGTATAACATTTTTCACCATTTCAATACAAGGAACGAATGAAAATCACAAATTCAATATAAAATACCATTTAGGGTAATTAAATATTCTCGCCAACAGATCGATTACAAGCTACTCATGCCTAAAGATGTTAGAAGTGTATTGCTTTGTGTTTAAAATGCATCCAGATAGAAATCTACGGTTTCTATTATCATTATTATTATTATTATTAGTATTAGTATTATTATTATTATTATTAAGGATAGTAGTCTTTGAGTCATATTAGGATAGTCTATAAGGGTTTTTCAGTCTTTAGCAATAAATATGTATTCGTGTGAACTCTGCGTCCCGTCGCTCCCATTCTGCATCTTGTTTGGCCATGAGGGCTTCCAGCTTGCAAAGGCACTCGTGCAACAGACAATAGTGGTCCCCGAGTGAGAGTTCTGACGAACTCAGATGTT